CCCCCCCCCCCTGCCCCTTCTCACTTGGTACCAGCTCCCCTGGGGAGGTAGGGCAAGGCCCTTGCTCCATGCCTACCTTATGCCCAATGACCCCAATTTGGGGCTGTGGGGCAGGAGAGGCCCCATGTCCCATCCTGGTGCTTTCTGCCAGCAGAGGGTGCTGCAGCTAGTGCTGCTCCTGCTAGTAGGAGCTGCAGCCCCAGGGGCCACCCGCGGGCACCGCCTGTGCCACCCTGTCAACGCCACAGTGGCCGCTGAGAAGGAAGCCTGTCCCCTGTGCATCACCTTTACCACAGCCATCTGCAGTGGGTACTGTCAGACTAAGGTGAGGCCCTTGGGGTGGGGAGAAATGATGCCCAGGGTGGCCAGGCTACAGGAACTAGCAATACTCCAGAAGGGGTAGGGGGGCACCTTGGCATGGGCCCTGAGACCCCCAGCTCTGCCTAGGTGGGCACAGGGGAGGGGGATGGGCAGCAGCAGGTGAGGCAGGGTTGGGGGGCAGGCAAGGGTTGTAGGGAAGCTGGCACTGCAGTGATGGGCATAGGCCGGGCAGGGAGATGAAGGGGCATAGGGACGGTGAGGGGAAGGGAGGAAAAGCAGGCTGGGCAGGGGGGTGATGTGTGTGTGGGGAGGGGCCAGGGCACAGTGCCACCCATGGCATCCCTCCCTCCACCCCCAGGAGCCCGTATACAAGAGTGCGCTGTCACCCGTGGCCCAGCATGTGTGCACATACCGTGAGGTTCGTTACGAGTCACTGGTGCTGCCTGCCTGCCCACCCGGCATCGACCCCACCTTCACCTACCCCATGGCCCTGAGTTGCCACTGCAGCCTCTGTCCCATGGACTCCAGCGACTGCACTGTCCAGAGCATCGGACCTGATTTCTGCAGCGCCCACGGGGGCTACGCCTAGACTTGGCAATAAACCATCCCCACGGCAGCCCGGCTCCGCGTCCATCTGTGTTTGTCTTTTGGCGCAGGAGCAAAAAATACCAGGCCTCAAGCCTGCCAGCCCCTCACTCCCCATCCCAGATCTGGGATAGAACCCAGGTGTCTGAGCTCCCAGCTCCTGCTGTAATCCACCAGCCCTAAACTCCCCTCCCAGAGCTGGGATAGTATGTAGGGGTCTGGCCTCCCAGCCTAGAAAGAGAACCCAGGTGTCCTGGCTCCCAGCTCCCACTGTTGTAACCCATCAGACTCCACTCTGCTCTCAGACATGGGAGAGAACCCAGGCTCCTAGGCCCCCTTACTGCTCTAATCTCCTAGAAGATGTGATTGCTGGGTACAGTGTGGGAGAGGAAACAGGACTCCTGAGTTCCAGCCTGGCTGTGGAAAGGGGCAGTACTATGATGATATGATCAAGGAATGCCTTGGGGTTGGGAAAAACAGGTGGTTTATTGAGAAGTGCAAAAAATCTATGGTACAGAGGAGCAGAGTGGGGGTCATACCCCTCCATGGGAACAGGGTGGGAGGGCAGGGCTGTGCCACTCCCACCCTGCTCATATCAGGTCCATGAGGATGTCGTCCTCCATGACACTGGGAGCCTGGACCTGCTGCAGCCCCGGCTGGGGAACAGGGCCCCGGGCCCCGGGGTTCATCAGCATCTGACCTGGGGAGGGGAGAAAGCAGGTGAGGGTTGGGCTATTTGTACAGGGCTCCCTTGCCCAGTGCTGAGATGCAGCTGGCTCTGGGGTGGGGCACATGGGGGGGGCTGGTTATATGGGCTGCCTCCCCTGATGCTGAAATGCAGCTGGCTCTGGGGTAGGTTGTTTTGCAGTTCTGATTATACAGGGCTCAGTGTAAGAGACAGCCAACTCTGGGGTGAGTGCAACCGTGGTAGCTATACTGAGACCCTGAACCTGGCACCAAGATACAGCCAGCTGCCAGGGGCCTGGTTATACAGGGACCCCTCATCCAGCACTGGCTCTGGTGCAGAGCATGCTGGGGACAGGTGAGGGGGCCTTGTATAACCAATCACCAAGATGCAATGGTCTCTGGGTTGGAGCATATTATGAAGGTGCTCACTCAGGGCTTGCCAGTCCATGCGCCCACCCTGCCCACTTACCTGGCAGTGGTGCCCGTGGCGCCATCTGTCCTGGCCACTGCTGTCCAGGGCCCTGATGCATGAGAGGCTGCCCAGGCAGCTGGAGCTGCTGTTGCCCCAAGGGCTGCCCCATGGACTGGTGGGGCAGCATGCCCTGGCCCGGTTGCTGCAGGTGATGCAGGGGCTGTTGGGACTGGGGAACAGCTGCCTGGGGCTGCAGGGGGGAGGGAAACACACTGGAATAGGAGAGGGGCACTAGACATCGCAGCTCTCCCCGCTTCCCAGCTGGACCTGATATCAGTGCCTCCTCACTGCCTCCCAAAGCAGATGTTCCCATCCCTCCCCCACCCACCAGGGCGAACAGAAACTTGGGCCTGTGTGTGGATGGGGAAGGGATCCAGGGGGGCAACCTCCAACTCCATACCAAGCACGCTGACAGGGCTAGGCCAGGGCACAGCCAGGGGCACCCTCTACTAGAGGTGGGGCATGGATAGCCAGGCTAAGGGGCTGAAGATGGAGGCTGCCAGGACACCTTAGAGTTGGGAATGATATTGGGAGCACCCCAGTGTGGGCAGGGACTGGTATGGGGAAGCCTCAGGCCTGGCAAGCAGTCTGCGGGCCCCCACAAGTAGGCCAGAGTTGGAGCTGGAGGGGAGGGGAAAGCAGGTTAAGGGGTCTCCTAGGCCCCTCAGAGTGAGCAGAGGTCCATTATAGGGATCCCCTAGAGTTCCAAGGGGGACAAGGATCCTCTCCCCAGGTTTAGATACTCACAGGTTGCTGGCTGAGAAGGAGGCTGCGAAGCTGGGGGTTGGCACCGGGGTTCTGGGGTCTCAGCAAGGCCCCCCCCTGTGTGGGCTGTGGGCCAGCTTGGGGGGCCCCAGGTGCTGGGGGGGGGGGGGGCTGGGGTGGGGCAGGGGCTGTGGGTTGCTGCTGTGGCTGAGGCTGGGGTGGGGCCTGTGG